AATCAAAATCAAGAATCTATTCGTAGATCATTCTAGAATGCGATTTCCTAATTTGGTATATTCCCAGACTGTACTAGGATAGTTGTATTAGCTAGCTAATATATTTTTATTAGCTAGTTTAACTGGTTAAGCTGCTTTAGCCCATAGCTGCTTTAGCTGGCTTGAAACACTAGTTCAGTCAAAGATTTTTCAAAATTGTGTAATGCAGATCATTTTGATTTATGGTAAAAGATCTGCAATTAGAATATTCTTTTTCTAATTCTGTAATACAAATTTTGGCCAAATTTTTACTTTGCTGTTGCACTTTTGTTATTTAATGCACAACCACCTTATAAAACCTCTGGGATCCCTACAGATTTCTAAACTACATAGTCTTAGAAAACGTTTTATAAAAAAATTTCAAAGATTTTTTTAAAACTAATTGTTATTTTCAGATAATAAAAAATGCTTTTGTTTTTTAAATTGAAATCGAATTTAGAATACCCTTCTAATATATTTGCAGATCATTTCCATATCACGGAGAATCCCTGACTGTCCAAAAGATGATTGTAATTTGGTGTAACATAACACGATCAGCGTTCGTTTTTAAGAAAATTAGCTTGTTTTCCGAAAATTAGCATAAGAAATTTTGACCCGTTCCTGATGGATCGTCGGTACTGTTCCTGATAGGGTGGGAAAAAAGTCGATTTACATACCGTTCCTGATAGGGTTCTAAAAAAGAGCCTCCAAAATACTAACTATATAATGAAAAAAAGTTAGGATTAGGGTTCGTTTTTAGAACCCTATCAGGAACAGTACTCAAATAAATTTTTTTTTTTTAACTACATCAAGGTCGGTATTGCCGATCCATCAGGAATAGTATTTTTGCTACCTTTTGCGCTCAAACAAAAAATTTCCTCGAGCAATTTTACTAAATTAACTACTAAATTCTAACCCTCATACTAACCCTAATCCTACATAAATAAACTTTTAAAGATTTTATCGTATATCACGTGAGCGTGAAAATTTTGGTGGTGATGCAGCGGAAAATCACAAACCACAAACAATCCTGTGTTTTTACGTGGTCTACCCTTTGACATTGTCATTAGTAAGAATTTTGGATTTTAAAAAAAAATTTTGGATCTTTGTAACCAAGATCTTGTTGAATACAAAATACAAATACAAAATATAAAATTTCAAACAATAATACATAAGTTGTTATTTTTTACGAAGTTTAATATTGTATTACATAACTCAACCAATCAGCATGAGTTTTGCAATAATCACATTTTTTTGTGATCGGAGTCAAATCAGCACATATGGATTAGAACGCATTTACAACTTTATATGGATAATCAAGACTAGTTCCTTTTTTCCTCCACAATCTTTTCTTTACTTTAGTCATTACATGCTCAGCTAAAACTTCCTCACAGTAACGTTTCTTGAAATCACGAATGAAAGTCGGATCCCTATTATACAAGACACGTTTATACTTTCCTTAGTTATAACTTATACATTAATTTATTAGGAACTTACCAAAGTTCAGAAGCTATTCCCAAATCTTTACAACATCTCACCAATGCATTACTTTTAGCACCTTCTGCAGCAGTGGCTAAACCAGAGGGATCAAAATAATCTTGCTCACCCCGAGCAACTGAAACAAGCCTTCATTTATTGAATCCAAGAAAATAAAATTAGTTCAAGATAAACCATTAGTATTATGGTTTTTAAATTTGCTTAAATAGTGGAATACCTTCCACAACAGACTAGCGCGTATTCCCGTGATATATTCTTTGGGCTGATTGAATTTTCACCACGTGGCGCAAGTCCCCATCCTAATAAATCCATCGTTAGTTTACTTATTGCATAATCGTAATAAATACTAAATATACAATTCGTGAATACCTCCTGGTCCGAATGCTCTATTCAATATACGGCGATATTTTATTTCCGGCAAATAAATAAGCCCGTCTATTAAATTCGTGTTTATTAATGAATAAATCTTATTGACTTACTTTTTAATAAATTAGATGAATTAGATATCTATTTACCGGGTTTGATTTCAATATCTTCTGAAGCAACTGGCGCCAAAAGAATTTCGGTCACCTCTTTTGAAAAAGGTTTCACGGATAAGCCAAAGAATGATTTAGACCAATCCTGCTCTGTCGACGTATTCTCAGAAAGATTCAACCCTGCCGTTTGTTCTTCCTTGTTACTCAGTGCATTAGAAGAAAACTCGGTCTCAGGCGCAAAGCCTTTCGTGCTTCCTTCCTCTGCAGAACTTCTTTCCGACGTGCTATTATATTCAGGGCTTGTTGTAGGGTTGTTTTTGAATTCTTGAGTAAAAGTATAAGCTCGCTGTTGTATAAAGGCTATTGTAACAAGATCTTACGATATTTATAATATTTATGCAGTAAATGATTACAAGAACGCGTCTTACTCTTCCTCCAGTCTTTAATTGAAGCGTTGTTCTTTGAAAGTTGACTAAAAAACACGTTTTTTGCCGAAACACAAACTGAAGACGTGAATTTCTTATAAATGAGGCCATATAGGATTTTTGCCAACAAAATCACCTTCGGGTAGTGATCGTTGAACCTGCCGCACCAATTTTGTCACTACAGATTCTTGATTTTTGATTGGCTGTTATCGTAAAAATTGAACACGAATACACCCCATGCAGATCAGTGTTGGGTTATGACCTTAAATGACCAATATGACCTATATGACCTTTATGACTTTTTGGTCATAATAAAAATTGATATGACCTTATGAAGTATTGTCAAAATAAAATTTGTAAATAAATATTATTTTTATTATATAGTATTAAATTAGCTATATACTTAATTGGAATTATTAACTATATTTTTTAGATTTACTAGCTTTTGTTTAGTATATATCTGTAATTTATTAACTTTTATTAAAAATATCTATTAAAATAAACACCAAAATCCATCATCACAACTTTTTCCACTGATCACTTGTACACAAACAAACAGAAAACAAACAGAAAACAAAACAGCCAAAACTCAGTAAAGAATATAAAAAACACCTGATAAGGCCTTAGGGAAAGAGAAAGAGCAACAAAAACAACAGGTATCTAGCTTAGAAACAAACTAGATCGAACTTGCAACAAAGAAAATATTTAAGAAAACCGAAAATTTTAAAGAAAATTTTGACAAAAAGTAGGCGACCATTTGACCCTAAATGCAGATCACCAATGGTAATACAAAAACAAACAAAACAAACAAGCAAAACGCGTAAATCAAAAACAACAATCACGTGTAGCAACAGACAATTCTAGAACAAATAAACAAACAATAAACCACGTGTTTCAACAGATAGTTCTAGAAATAACAAAGTACACGTAGCCAGTATTAACAACAACAAGCAATACTATAGGTGTAATAAACAGAAACAATTAGAAATAGATTTTCTAAAAACATAGCATAGTAATTATAGAATTTACAACAATTCATTCCAGAAGAGTATTGTAAACTAAGCTTTAGTATAGGAATGATGAGGATAAATCTATTAGACTATATTTGAAGCAGAACTGTAATTGCAGCCAAATATATGTTTGACAAACCGCTTGAAGAAACTGTTAAACAGGTTATACTTCGTGACCCTAGCAATATCGAACACATAGCCAAAATACTAACAATAGAGGACGAAAGCAAAATCATATCAATAGAAGTTCTGGCATATAGTCGTGTTGTTGAAGCGCTTACAAAAGCTGAAGCAAAAGGATATCTAGAAAACAAAATTAAGAAATGGGCAGAAAGAGCAAGATGGGTTAATCAAAATCTCAAGTCTATTAAGTACATGGTTGAAATGAGCAAAGAAGAAATCCAAAGAGAAATAGATAAAATAGAAGGTGTTATGAAAACTGA